CAACAACTTGCGTGTTCTCTTCTCTTTTACTCCGATCGTTGTTGGTAGAGATGATGATGATGATGATGATGATGACGATGATGATGATCATCATACATCGGTGAGTGTGCGTTAGAATATGAGAGAGAGAAAAGAGAATGAACGAGTGAGTGATGAGGTGAAGCGAGGTGAAGTAAAAAAGAGGATGAGTCTAAGTTAGAAAGAGAGAGAGAGAGAGAGAGAGATACTCGCGGTCATACGCGTATATTTGTATATATATATATATATGTGTATATACACGCGACGACGCATTTATAAGAGCCCCGTGTACTCCACTCGCGCGAACGGTGGGAGCGGAATTCTGTGCTGAGCGACAAACAATTGCCGCCAAGTGGCTTAATTGTAGCCAACTAAACAAATGTTCCAACCGTATCTCTCTCTCTCTCTCTCTCTCTTTCTCTTTTTCTCTCCCTCAACGTGGTTCTTCTCATCTCCCTTTTCTCTCCTTTTTTTTCCCTTCTTTTTTCTTTTTATTTTCTTTCTCCCTGAATCCCCTCTTCTCTTCCCCACCCCGTTCCCAGTACCAGTAGCATTGCTACTACCGCTATCCGCAACACTACCACATTAACATTCCCTCACCATCCCTTTCCCCAACCCAACCCTTGCTCGTTCTTTCTCTCGCGTATCATTTTCTTTCCTTTTTTTTTCTTCCCCTCTTAGTTAGACCAGAAAAAAAAACGACTCTGCTTTCCACACGGTCCAGGAACAACGCGATTTCAAACGTATATTTCTTTTTGTGTGTGTGTGTGTGTTTTATTTTTTTTTTAAGTCTTCTCTTCTATAGGCCCGGTTTTCAAGGTTCTCTTTTTCTTTTTTCGTAAATGCCAAGTGCAAAAGGAGAAACTCGTACACTCCCTTTCCCCCTAACCCTCTGGTTTATCTGGCCTTCTTCTCTTAACCCAGGTAATCATCTTTGTTATTTTGTTTGTTTGAAGTGGACGTGGATAATTCGTTGATTTTCTCGCGTATACCAGGGATAGGATAACCTGTGGTATGACCTAGGACTAGGACTAGTACGATTAAAAGGGTGGATGGGGGTTGGAAGGGGAAACATTTTTCCATTCTTGTTTGACTCGTTTAATCTCGTCAATTTAAATGCAACCTCCTGCGTTATGTTGCACGTCTACATGTGCACAAAAAGCTGATGGTGTCTGTTGGTGTTTGTTGCACATCTCAACAACATCATCAAGCAGCTTCCTCAAGAAATTTCATGGGGTAGATATGAAGATTTCCATGATCATTTCACTCATGTTACCTGCAAAAATCGGATTTATTTCAACAAAGAGTTAAGAAAGTGTTTTCCTTGTTAGTTCTTGGGAGTCATTACTATTCTTCCCCATAGTTAGGTTTAATGATCAAGATAGGATAAGATGGGGAGTCATAGGATGGTCAGAATATTATTGTTGTTTTGTTGTTTTGTTGTAAGGAAGATTTTCTTTAGTAAATAAGAGTTTTATTTTTGGTTAGTTGCCACCCGACGAGTAGGTGTAGGTATACGACCAGTGTCTCTGTTTCTCTTTGACTACTGAGGGCCGTGCCTCGTGCAGTGAGATTCCCATTTATCAGGGTACATCCGGCGGAAGTGGGGCGGCCCGTGCGTAGGTGAGAGACGACGAACAGAAAGAAAGAAAGAAAGAAAGAAAGAAAGAAAGAAAGAAAGAAAGAGAGAGAGAAAGGGATGAACAGAATGTTAAAGAACGAAACGAAACAAACCTACATTAACGTGTCCCCTTTTTTATAGAAATAAAATGTATATATATATATGTGTGTGTGTGTGTATGTGTTTATGTATGTAGAGTAAATAAATAGAAAGAGGTTATTTACTTGTAACCAAAATCTCTTCACTTGTATAAAGAATTAACATCAAATTAGATTTATCTTTGAATTTCAAATCGAAGGAAACTGAGAGAGACGAGAAGAACTCGGGGTAGGATGGGGAAAAGGAGGAGAATGAGAAGGAAGAGTGGGGTGGGCAGGATTTAAAGCATTCAGCAACAGGTTGAAACGATCGGTGGTAGTAGTGGTGGTGCTATTCGGGTGGAAACTCGCTATAATTGTCATTTCCAAGCGTGCTGCGATCGATCATCGCAAACTTTTCCCTCGAGAGGACGATTCAAATAGTTGAATAGCGAGTCGCCATTTTTTTCTTCTTTCTTTCTTTCTTTCTATAGTTCGAACAAAAATTTTTCATCGATTCATTCGATCGATTAATTATTATTCTTTTTCTCGTCTAGTATCATTTGATTTATTTTCTTTCAAATAAAACGAACAAAAAAAGTTGATTTATATTTTATTAATCTTCTTAAATTGAATTCAAAAGTGAGGTTAATTTCATTACCTTATTTTAAATTGAATTCAAAAGTGAGGTTAGGTGATTCATTCCCGTTACTTATATAGAATAAGAAAAAGAACTTGCAATTGGTTTTTTTTTTCTTTTTTTTTGGTTTATTTCTTTTTAATATTTGTTTTAATCCATCGGATGTTGAATAAAAAAATCGAGATATCTATTTCACAATTGTCGATAAATTCCAAACGATTATTAAAAACATCTTTTACCTTATACAACGTATTATTATTTCTACGATAATTATTTTTCTTTCTGTTTAATTAAAAAAAAAAAATAATTTCAAAACTAAAAATACTTTCAGTTTTATTTTAATGATTATTTACATTCGTCTTTTAATTCAACACACAACCCATCGACACACCTAATTCTAACCTATAAAAAAAAAGAACCAAACGAGATTTTAACAAATTGTATTGCGAGAACGATAATATATATTTTCTTTTTTTTTTTTTGTTAGTATAAATAAATAATGTATATTTTATACAGTTTCTCAGAACATTTGTTTTACAAATTACCGAACACCCCCAGTAATTGATACGAATACCACACGATAATAGATTAAACATTTAATGTATGTGAAATATTTGAAATAATTTATAATATTATCGTATTGTTTATTACATTTAATCAATCTATCATAATTCTAAGTATCTCCTCTCTCTCTCTGTCTCTCTTTTTCAATTCTTTCATCCTCGGATATATTCGTGTCCGGAGACTCGTCGGAATTTCTTGGTTACGTCAGCAGCCATACTTTTTACGTATTGAGGAGAGAAAGAAACAAACAAATAAAAAAAAAAAAAAAAACAACAGTCCTATTGAGAGAGACAGAGAAAGAGACTGATTATAAGAGTGAACGAGAGAGATAGACAGACACAAGTATGAACATAAGTATGTGTAGGTAATATACGTGTATCTGGAAATGGGCGTTAAAGTCAGAAGACCGTGATGTGATGTGGTATGGTATGGTATGGTATGGTATGGTATGGTATGGTATGGTGTGAGTACTTGTTTCTATTCTATATGTATGTATGTATGTATGTGTGTGTGTATGAGAAATCTTTCTGGACCCCGACACGAAGTTTTGTCCGGTCGGTATCAATTGGCCGTGCTGTGCTCTCTGCGTTATATACCGGTCGACCTTCTAAAGTTGCAACACGAGACCTGACACAGATAGGAGAGGCTGCTGTGTTGCTGTTGCTGTTGGCTGATGGTTGTTGGTTGTTGGTTGCCGTTACTACTATTGCTACCTTCGTTGTCGTCCTCGTTGTGTTTCCTTTACTCTTACCAATACACTTATTTATATATTTATATATATATATATGTATGTTTGTACGAGGGACTTACGAAACTTACGTGAGATACTCGGTGAGAGATCGTTTAATCGGTCGATCTACGTTTATTTTCTAGATCGATTAAATACCACTTTGTCGGTCAATCCGTTATCCTCTTCGATCTTGACTTCATTTGTTCAATTGATAATTTTTGTTTTTATCATATTGCGTATATTATATGAAATTGGAATGACTTTGTGATAAATATTTAACTAAGCATTTATAAAACATTAATTGGTCGTCACTGGATAGCTCAATGGGTAAAGCAACTGCCTTAGAGAAAATAAAAAACTTGGAAAATAAAAAGTTCGTGGGTTCAAATCTCCGTGGGGTCTCCACTCAATGGGCCCAGTTTTTTCACGTATTTTACATTATTATATTAATAGTAGGATCAAATAAAGGAAGAATTTTTAATTAAAGGGCCCATTATTAATAAAAAAATAAATAAAAAAGTAGTCCCATCTTTTGATTTGTTGGTTATTATCAAGATTTTTTTCATAGCTTACTATCATCTCAACTTGCAGAAGCACTGAGAAAGAGAGAGTTGTGTTGTGTGTGTTATAAGTAATTTGCGTTTGGACAAACCACAAGCCGCATTCTCCGGGCACACAACACTACTTACTTGGGACCGTTTACGGACTCCCTTGATCCGGGCCAATATAAAGTCCACGGCCATTTTGCGGCTCTGTGTTGTTCTGTATTAAAGTATATATATATATATATATATATAGTTTCAATGAATGCTTTTCTAGCGAATAGAAAACTTTTCCACAGATTTAACAATAAACAATATCCAAGTATCTGTTTTGTGTAAAAAAAAAAAAATGATGTAAAAATTATTTAATTAATTGTAAGTTTTGAAAATCATCCAACCTTTTGAACTGTATAAAATATTTGCGTATTTCAAACACCAATTTGAATATTATTTCCATCTCGAATGAATGGTTCCAAAGTTTATGCGTAAATGTAATAACGTTAATTGCCATTCATCCCTATTTCCTTCCTGCTACCCTCATCCCCTAAGAATTTCCCCTATTTTTCTCAGTAATTCACTCATTTCAATTCTTAGAAAATTATAACTAAACGATGCAAAATATATTATCGCGTTGTATCTATTGTATCCATGAAAATTCATTTATCATGTGTGTTCTATATCATTTGCAAAATTCTTCCCTAAATGGCGTAATCAAAATTATTTTATTTTATTTTATTTTAATTTACTTTGTCTTGGTTTCTTTTTCCTTCTTATTTTTTTAACCAACTGATTTTCTATTCTGTTACAGGAAAACATTTCGACTCCAGAGCCGGCTGATATATCCGAGGACGATCACTATTCAAGTGAGCAGAAATTATATTTCATCGTATATATATATATATTATTATATAATTATTATTATTATATATTTTAAAAATATATAATAATTATTATAAATAATATATGTTATATATTATATAAATAATTAATATTTAATTAATACAATATATAAATAATATATATAATATTATAAATATATATATATATATATATATATATATA